TCACCCACCAGTAGCATCCTATAAAGTAAGCCAGATTACCTGCAGCTCAACTACATTCCTGAACCACAACTGCCTTCCATTATCAATATCATAACTATGAACTTCACTCCTTGCAGGTCTCAATCCGTAAACCTTCAGGGACTTAAGTGTGTGCCCTGGCAGCTTGTTTCACTGCAGCAAGCTCAGCCCGCATCTGGTGAGCAGTGATGGCGGTGCACCACATGGTTTCATGGTCAGGCATCCCATATGCACCACCACCAGTGCCACCCGTCGCCATGGTGTCCCCATACTCTGCAATGACATCGTCAAGTCTCTCGCCAATCAGGTCCTCCAGGTAGTCACCCTCTGGCTCACAACCAGCTGGCCCCATAATTGTTTTGCCAGCAATCACAGCCGCTTCCGGTGCAGCCATGGCCATCTGAGCTGAGACCTGCTAGCAGAACATCAAGATGTGAGCATATGTAAGACCCAAAATGCATGATACTGGTGCCCTGCGATGTTCAGGAACCTACAAGCAACTGCATGACATGTGCCATGGATACATCCACAATGACATGTCATAATACATCATACCCATAACCCATACCCCGCGTACCTGCTGCTGCTTCGGTGGCACCACTGTTCATCTCACCCATCATGACGGCTGGGGCCGTGGCAGGGGTCTGGCAGGATCCCTGCAAATGCAGCATATGGGCCGAATTGATATAGTCTGTTGGAATAATAGTTTAGCAGCTGGAGGGATGCTCGGGGGGCCCTTCCTCGTCCATTCACCCGGACATCCGAAGAGACGGAGGGTTCAGAAATCACCACCTTACCAGCGTGCAACCTGATCAATCAACTTTAAAATCAACTCCACATCTCAGCAGCTAGCTTACCCTCGTTCCCCCGAACTTGGGGATCTCCCCGGGAATCCAACCCAGGATCTTAAACCGCTAAACACAGTAGAGTCAGCCCAGAACTATTTAACAACATGTACTTACAGCTGCCTTGGCATTCACATATGCCACTCGGATGATCGATGCCATGATTGCCCGCTTCTTCTTTTCAAGGCACGCCTGGCTGATCCTCCAGTACTCCAATGCAGACTTGGACAGCACATCTGCGTGTTATACAAGGAGTTGTGCAGTTATGTGGGGTTTCCAAGCATGCAACTGCAGCTGCAATAAATGCCACACTTACAGTTTGTGTGGCAGTACACAAACTCGATGGCATCCTTCCACTTACTCTGTGCAGAAGCCGATGTACAGTGGTGCCTTGATGGACAGAGGCAGGTTCGATGCCTTGATTGT